CTCCTTCCTTCTTACAACAACTAAGACTACTTCTCTGGAAGAATGGCCTGAGTGTCACCCGGCAGCCAGTGAGTAAACCAGTAAACTTGTACCTGTACCTGTACACTTGAACAACAACAATAAAGACCTGATACCCACTGTGGAGCTTCTGAATTTTACTGTTGTCTTTCATTTATATCAGCACCTCTCCTCTGATGGCCTCCTTCTTACAACAACTAAGACTACTTCTCTGGAAGAATGGCCTGAGTGTCACCCGGCAGCCAGTGAGTAAACCAGTAAACTTGTACCTGTACCTGTACACTTGAACAACAACAATAAAGACCTGATACCCAGATTCTGTGGAGCTCTATAGGTTCAGGATTCAGGATACAGACTCCACATAACATATATTTTCATACTGAATTTTAAAATGTAAAAGCAAATACTGTACACGTTTGGTTAGCTGATTTGGTTGCATATTGCTGTTATAAAATTAAGTTAACACTCCGGGGCACTGTTTCTAAACTCTTTATCTTTGCTTTATCATTATATTAGCTGTGCATTATCACTTTAATATTCTCTGTGTCCTTAAAACCTTATATATATACATATACATAAAACCATAATATATATATATATATATATATATATGCATATTTTATGATATGTTCAGATGGTTTTACATAAATACATACAAACAGTAATATCTAAAAAAGTGAACTATATATGTAACCATAATTTTATTAGTAATCCTTCCAATTTATACTGAGATTAATAACCATGTACAATATAACCAACAGGAAAATCTGACAGCACATTTGTTTGTTGATTTTTTTCAGGCCTGGTCGCTGGCTCTCCTTGTCTGGCCACTTGTGATCTTTATTATCTTGGCGATCACCCGTTCACAGTTTCCTCCAAAACTCAAAGACTCATGTATGTACCACTGTACCATCCTATATTTAGACTGCAAAAGGAAGTCATCTAAGTATCTAAGTTTGTTGTGATCTCAGTGGCGTGACAGTGACTGAAGGTTAGAGTTGGTGTAAACATAAAGATTGTGGCTTCAATCCTGAGAAGGTCTGAGTCAGAAGCTGTGGCGTTCACAATCCTGCTTTATTACTGTTATGCTCATGAGCAAAACACTTATTTTCAGGTTATCCCATTGGGACTGTCATTGCACTTAATGTGCTGTAACTTCCGTACAGTGAAACGTGTTTGCAAGGAACAGTAACATTGTTGAAGGTTTGATTCATGATTTGATGGAGATTCTGTATGCAGTTGAACATATCTTACTTCATTTTCCTGGATTTATTTAAACTAGTAAAACTAGTAAAAAGACGTATTCTGTGATGTTTAAGCAATCTTTCTTCTTAAGCTGGCTGTCCTTTGGGAGTTTTCTGTTGTTTCACATCTCTCTCTTGAGTATTGAGTTGTTAGGCCTGGTCTTTCCTATAAGTAGCTCTCTTATGCCTTGCACCGTTCTGTGCAGGCAGACTCGCTGTTTGTCTAATTGTATCCATAGAAACTCAAAACTCATTTGATAATGTGAGAAAACAAGTGCTAAAGCTTCCCAACTAACAAGGAACGTCCTCAGAGCTTAATACTTACTAGTCTCAGATGGTTTAGAGAACATTTAAAAGTAACTTTCCCATAATGTTTGCAAAATTATAAAATTGAATGTACCCTTAAAGGTGCAATAGGTGCTGGTTGAAAGTCTCTTCACATCCCGATAGCAATCATTAAGTTAAGTGGTCTAAATGTATTTATATATTCTGTTGACAGCATAGGACCAAGAAATGTTTGTCCAATCAAAATGTTTTGGTCCGAACATTATGATAGGCTTTCCTACCTGCCTGTCAAAATATGTATTTGCCTACCTCTGCGCACCCTGTTCGTGCAGCCAGGATACATCATCAGCACGTTCACGTACGCTGTGCAGACAGAGCGAGAATCATGGCAGGCAAACATCAACAACCTGACCTTCCTTCCTTCCTTGGTATTGTAGTACTGTTACTAACTGTACTATAAAGTTTTCTCACCGGTGAATGACACACGATGTATTGTAGTAATGTTGTCTCTGGTCGTCTGGTCTGTGCGCGTTCAGGAGGCGTGGCTTTGGACGGCGATTTGCAGGGAGGGTGGGACGTACGCTTTCAGTGCTATCAGGCTAAAGTTAGCATTTTCCAAAATGCCCTACTGCACCTTTAATATTTCCTCTAACATTCACATAACCGAGAAAAATGCTTTTAAACGTTATAAACGTTAAGTTCAGTGAACATTCAGAAACTTTTATAACTTAACAGGAACGTTAGCAAAATGTTCTTAGAACATATTTTTTTGGGGATTGGTGGTAAACTTCTGCAATAATTCTTGTTGGTGTGTTTTACTTTGATATGAGAGAGATGCATATGAGCAATATCACAAGAGTAGCAGTACGATTTGGTTGTATTTCAGCACGGCTGTGATACAGCCGTAGGCACGAGGCTGCAGCCAGGTAATCACAGCATGATGATATACAGCCATATATCGTACAGCTACAAGTGTGATATTGCGTTTATACAACAGTTCGATGACACAGGTGTGTAAATAAAAAAGACAACAACGGAGTGTCTTCAAAACCTTCTTTTGTGCAGAACTACTTCCTTCCGCCACAGATTCAATTCTCAGTTTGACAGTTTAACAGCTGAGCTCAAGTGTCCCTTACTAATTCGCAAACGTCATTTTAGAACTAGTAACGAAGGAATGTTGAGTTGCTTCATTAAAAGCTTATTGTATTACTGTATTAAAAGCTCACTGTATAATGTAGAGTAGAGTATTATGAGAGAGCGATGGACTGAGTGAGTGAGATTACCTGCACCTGATACAGCATTTATTCTTCAGCTCAATCTCATATTCACAATAAAACATTAGTTTGAATGTCTGCCGAGGAAAGCGATATCTTTGTCGTTTGCCTGTTCATCTGTTAAGGGTGATTTCCGATGACAGCGCTGCTCACTGCATTTGTTGGCTGCGTCTTACAAGATGTTGTTGAAAGTAAAAATAACTTCCTTACAACCCTTTTTTAGTCTCTTTCAGTATAAAAGTATTTACTGCGGACACACTCTTAAAAACAGTCTCTTGTCTCCATCTAATGGCGGAATAATGTAACCAAAATCACCATCACAAAACACACTGTTTCTCAATAATAAATGCTATTATTAAATACTACTATTATTTATATAAAATATTATTTATTGAATAATAATATTTAATAAACAACAACAACAACAGCCATCATAAAAGTTGCTAGGCAATTAAATCAAAAGTACAAAGGTAGCGCTCTGATATGTAGCGTTAAAGTTATATAAGATATAACATTATGAGACTTTGCCCTCAGCCAAAACTATTTGCTCTGGAACAAATAATAGATTAATGTGACCAAAGACTGCCAGTTAGATTTGCCCAAAACAAATTATATCTCATGTTTAACCACTATAGACATCAGAGCCAGCGGCAAATTCCAGAAGAACTGACCGAGGTAAGGCTGCTCTCGGTGGGTTCATGAGCGCTGAACGGCTGCTGACTCCATGGAGCTCACATCTCAGAAAACGTTGAAGCAAATTTTCAAATAGACGTTATCCTTATTAACAAACTGCATTTTTGAAGTCTAAACAAATACATTCTCACCTAAAAAACTGTTAAAACTACATTCCGTGACACAGAAACATTATTTATAAAATTATGGTGGATTTGGGTGTCTGCCATGATACTTGCTGTGAGAAATACAGCAAGCGGATATATATCAGGGGTGTTTGCTCCAAGGAGGCAATTAAGGCAGTGCCTCCTCAAAATATTGGATGAGAAAAAAATATTTAGCACAAAAATAAAACAACACCTGAACATGCTAATCAATGTCTTCAGGGTCATTAGAAAATCACAGGTACTGTAGGTTAGTTTGATCATGGTTGAAGCTACACTCTGCAGTGTATAGACATCATAATAAATGCTATTTTAAATAAATAAATAAATAAATAAATGCTAGGGAAAGATTTGAGGAACCCTGCCCTAAAGCGTGTGGTGAGTTAATTGGTGGTGGGGGGTAATTGTGAATGTATGGGGGAAAGTCATGTCAGAGGAGGAAATGCCTTCATCACGATATGATTGGATATGACTGGTTATGTTCGGCTGTGATCGGCTGTCATGCAGTGTATGATTCATTCATATTTGAAGCCAGAGAGAAAGTCCAAAACAGCCTCATAGAAGTAATAACTTATGACGTGCCAGGAAAGTCCTAATATGGACAAAGGCATCCGGCTATCGCTGTAGCTAAGCTGAATAAAAAGCAGAAATGTTTTGATGAAAACGTGATGAAACGTGAAGACAATAAACACACGATTGCGACAATATATGGTTTATATGTGTTTTTTCAAGTCATCTTAAGGTAATAAATAAATAAAATATATGAATAATGCAGTGCTAATTGACATATAATTTATTACAGTAGCTTTTGTTTAGAAACCATAAAATATAGGCTATTTTCTGCTTTATTCTGTGATAAAAATGGCAAAAATTTAAAAATCCACCCCCCCCAAACAATTGACATTTCTGACCCCCTAACATCTGAAATCCCCTGTGTGGGAGTTTTTAGTGAGTAATCAGCTTAGTGAAATAAAGTTAAGTAAATATCTCTGTGTCTTTGACCAATATTTAAAGAGCTTTGATGACTGATGATCCGAAAAATTCTATTAAACTATTAAAAAGAATAGCTGAACTTAAGTTCACAAATAAAATATATTGTTTAAATTGTTACTGCCTTGAGTTATTATTTTGGAATAAATGCAAAATGCTTAAAAACTCTAACTTGATGAGATTCATACTTGGCTTTAATAAACTGAATATTGATTACATTGTTAATGTAAAAATATAATAGAGTTGTTGCTTCTTTTTCTTTTTCCTTTTCTGATAATGTAAGTAATGTTTATTTAACCAAGAAAAGGTGACTGGGACAGAATTTACATTTGATTTAAAAAAACAACAACGTTGCCACCTGATTTCAGAACACCACCGCATATACTGTATGTATGTAAATATATATATATATATATATGTATATATATATATATATATATATATATATTATATTGGTTGGAAGAAAAGCAACTTTAAAGGAATAGTTTGCCTAAAGTTAATATTCTTTATGAATATGAGGAGAATGTTTTTGGTTATGACGATAATCACATCTGTTATTAAACTTACATGTAAATGACTAACTTAATGCAACAGTCAGTATTTCCTCATGATACTTTCTCTATAAATAATTTGTATACTTGTTACACCCTAAGGAGAGATATGTCATGTTTATTTTATATCGTTCTCCATAGTTTCTCTATGGTTTTGGTTCATTCAAACACTGTTTGCTGGACAAACATTGCATAAGGTCAATAATCCTACAGTATGAAACCTTTTAAGTGATCACGTTTATGTACCTTTTAACTCAAAGCATTATGTTTGTTTCTATGAAAGTCCTATACCATAAAACCAGACAGGAAAATCAAATATTCTCCCTCTCTGGGGAGAGAAAAACCAACCCAAATTGATAAAACATGATTGAGAATTGTTTTTCTCCAGACAGCGATTAGATTAAGTGAAGAACGAACATAGACATTTTCTGGTCTGATTCTCAGATTTTTCTCCTGAGAAAAAGTATCTACAGTATTAATGTGTCTCTTCTTAGAGTTTCAGAGGACAAACAGTGCCACAAAGTCTGCTCAAATTTGACAAAAGACTATAGTCTGCAATCCGATATCAAAGATTTCAATATGAACATTACTTCAAGACAAAATCATGTGGGATTTTCTAAACAAGTGTACTGGTTTTTAAATTATGTGTGTCACTTCAGCAAATCCTTTTCAGTAGTATTTACTGGAATGTTTCTAAAGCAGAGAAAAACAATATTTGTTATCTGTCAAAATGATGGAAAGCACTATGAAATATCCGACAATGTTCCAGTTAATGATGGAATATTTTCCCCTTGCAATCAGCTGCATCATGCCCATTCAAACCAATGGTACACGTTCCCCTTGAGATTTTTGAGCCAAATGGATGTGAATGCTGCTTCCAAAAGACAAAAAATAATATTTTTACATTTCATAATTATCCCTTTAAAGTGTACAATCACAAGTGTGATTACAACGTTTAGTGTGTCATGTTATCAAAAAGATAAAACTTTGAAAAACATTTTTAGCCTTCTGTGAAAGTTACTTTTATTAATTGACCAAACTCATCATAGTCTTGAAGCCTTTGAAGGACTTAAAAGAGCAGCCTCTGATTCACAAACTGCACTATCAAACACTGAGATAAAGTGCAGCTTGCCTTGCGGTGTCAGTGCTTATACTTTAAATTTGTTTGCTTCTGTAAACTACAGAATACAAGACTGAATTGATGCAGGATTTATAGGCCTAATATTCTGGAATAGCAACGCTGCAGTAGTTATTATAATTAACATGACTGTTTAAAGTTAAAATGCCTTGATGGATCTGTTCTTACAAAAATGGACCTCACAAGGCATTAATTGATAGACTGGAGTCGTGTGGATTACTTGTGGATGATTGTGATATTTTTATCAGTTGTTTGGACTCTCCTTCTGACATGTGGTGTAATGCTAAATTTCCCCAAATCTATATAGATGAAGAAACAAACTCATGTACATCTTACATTCTACATCATTTTCTGCAAATTTTGGTTGAACTATTCCTTTAAAACTAACTCTGCACTGTTTCTTTCAGGCTATGTGGCACCTAGAAATCTTCCGAGCGCCGGATTCTTCCCTTTCCTGCAGACACTCATGTGTAACACCGACAGTACATGCACCAACAAATCCTACCTAACAGAAGGACAGTCCAAATCGTATTGGTACACGGGTCATCGTCACCGCAGGGATGCTGAATCTCACAGGTAATGCATGGCATCTCGCTCACTGTAAAAAATAACACATTTCCAGAAACAGTTGTTTCATGTAGCACCATATTCTCAGAAAGTCTGAGGTCTGTTTTTTTTTTTGGATGTCAATATTTGGTATATTATGATTGATGATCAGATGTGTACAGTAACGGTGATATTTATGAGCCAGCACCCTAATGTCATGTGCTGTATGTCAATGCTATGTGATGTCTAATAAAGATGTCTCAGTTCAAAATGACAATGGCCACACCTGTATGTCGATGCATCACTGATGAGATGATAATGGACCTCATGGCAAAATACTGCACCTCCTGTGACATTGCTGTTCCCTTTGGCCTAGTCGGTATTCATAAAGCTAAGAATTATCTTATTTGATCAGTTGATCAGCAAAAGCGTTTGACTGTTGTATAGAGAAATGTTGACTAAACCTGTTTGTTCAAAAGTTCTTTTACTGCTGTGTGTATCATGTCCAGGTTGAGTCAACAATGAAATTTTCTGTATTCAAAACCTTTGCTGGGTCATTGTTGCTGAAGAATGTTTGGTGAAGAAGAATGGACTTTTTTACATGTTATTTTCCTTTAACACACAAAAAACATACTGTAAATATAACTACTTAAAAAGTGCTACTTAAAAATATTTTTGAAAATAAATTGCATGATTATAGGTTAAAAAATGTTTGTCTAAAGCACTGTGGTAGAAAACATTACATTGTTTAAAATTAGATAATTAAGATAATTTGCTTTAAATTGATCTCTGTCATGATCATTGCTCAAAAATTGTATGACGGTTTCTTCCTTGTAAAACACAAAAGGAGAAAAAAAATGTCAATATTTTTCCTTACATTTGGGTTAGCATTTGGTCCCCTTGCTTCCAAATAAAACTTTAATATTAGACTAACATATAAATGAACTAAAAGTTTAAAAAAGTATTAATTACATTTAATAATTAAAAAAATGTTTGTTTAACATTTTTCAGTGGAATTGCCTCTATAAAGTAAAATGAAATAACTAAAACAAAATAAAATAGATAACAGTGAAAGAGTAAATATTACATTAAAGTTTGTAATTTAGTTAGTTCATAGTTTAATGAAGGTTGAAGAAATGTAGAAAAGGCTTTAAGACACTATTTTGCTTTAACATACAACACAGAAGATTTTATTGAGTGTTTGAAAAAATACATACATTTAAAAATAAGGGGGTGGCAGAAACTCCCAATGGCAGCATTCCTTCTTTTCTACTTCCTTTTATTAATTCAATTTCTTTGTGTGCTATGAACAAACTCACTACCAGCTCATACTGTGTAGGAGGGTTTGAATTCACACGACTTTGTTTGTATAATCCTTCACCTAGTTATCATTAAATAATGCTGAGACGTATGGTTTTCAATCATCTGTCTATCCCGTTTCTTTTTTGTTTAGGCTTGTGCAAAAATGTCAGCATTTATAATCATACATTACATGTCTATGTTGTGTACATAACTATGTTATTTAACATATTTTGAGAGTATATGACCATATGCTATATTTTAGTAACAACACTATAGTTTGTCCTTTGACAAAAGTTTAATTATAGTTTAATTTTAGTTCATTATAGTTAATTATACTTCTTGTATATTCCCATGGTCCTCTTTATATTTCAGTTTACCAACACTGCTTCATGGATTCCCTCCACTGGCCCATCTACAGAAGGGAGGACTGGTTCACTCAATCCTTAAAAGGGATGCATCAAATCCAGAGCTCCTAGAGCTATGGGACAGGATGCTCAGTATGTACACTTTCATCAGTCTTTTAAAACAAAGCCACTCAGTGTTAAATAATTGATAATGAATCAGTTTCTGTTTTTTAACTATGTTATTTATCCTTTTTTTTTTTTTTTTTTTTTAAGATTCCAGCTCTCAAAACATTCCCAATGTGACTTCAGTCATGGATACTTTTAACAACACTGCACTGGTTGATCAGGTTAGTGATGAGTGTTCTGATTCTTGACATATCCATGTTTTTTTGTGTGTGTGTGTGTATATATACCAGATTTATTTTATTTTTAGGAGATAATAAATAAAAGGTGAATTATTTTTTAATAATTTTAATGAGTTTTACAGATAATACAAAATATCATCATATAAGTTTTTTTTTTTTTTTTGGTAATAGTCAGTAGTCAAAGTTTGTTGTGTATTTTTTGTAATGGTCCATTAAAAAGTAATCATTATCATTTGAATGTATATTTTAAGCAATATGGCTACTTAAAGGGATAGTTCACCCAAAATTTTGTCGTCATTTCCTCACCCGTATGTTGTTCCGAACCTGTATGATTTTTTTTTCTGCTACAAATGAAGATAATCCGAAGAATGTCGGTAACCAAACAGTTGCTGGTAGCCATTGACTCCAACAGTATTTGTTTCCATACTATGTAAATTAGTGGCTACTAGCAACCATTTCATTACCAACATTCTTCAAAATATCAACATTCTTCAATGTCCAGTTACTTACTTCATTGATTTTTTTTCTTTGTTGTAGACAATGGAGTCAGTTTTGGAATCTGTGAATGTCTTGAAAAAATCCTTATGCAGCTTCTCCATGACTGCCATCAACACATCAGCCAGTACCCAGGATCTCTTTACGAAAGGCTTAATAAACTTCTGCAGTTCCGATGACACTGTTCTGGAAGCATCCTTACTCACCCTGAACCAGGTGGGGTCAGACCTCCCACACTGTTCATAATCTTTCAGTCTAGTCACATTATGCCCACAAATGTCGAAGACATTAAGTGAATCATTAGACATCCCTTTGATGTTCATCTGTTTACTTGTGTGGGTCGCCAGGAGCTGACAGAAATGCTGCTCAGTAACCCGACAGAAATATTGGGATCGATTGGAGGCACTGTGGTGGTCCTAGATATGCTTCAACAGGAGACGTCAGTGTGGGACTTCCTGCTTGGCCTGCCTGATCTCTTCTTGATGCCCACAGATGAAGAGATATTAAATGTTGGAGCAGGGGAGTTGGAAAATCTTAAGAAGTGAGTTTTGAGAACTTGTTTAAATAAAAATTGCTCACATATGCCACCTTTGAAATGTTTGGGGTCAGACTTTTTTTAAATAAATGTATACTTTTATTCAGTGAAGATGCATTAAATTGATCAAATTGACAGTAAAGACATTTATAATGCTACAAAAGATTTCTATTTCAAATAAATGCTATTCTCTTTCTATTAATTAAATAACCCTTAAACAAAAATTGCATCACGGTTTCCACAAAAAATATTAAGCTGCACAATTGTTTTCAATGATAACATAATAAGAAACGCTTCTTAAGCACCAAATCAGCATATTAGAATGATTTCTGAAGGATCATGTGACACTGAAGGCTTCACTTTGTGTATGTATTTATTGTGCACTGGAAAGTTCAGCCAGTTCAGTGCCTATTTACTTCTTGTGCATGTTTTTTGGTTCTGGGAATTCCATAACCACATTAGTATGTGGGTGCCCAGCTTGGTTTTACAAATTCAGTCTGATGTGTATATTCACAACAGTACACCTTCCCATTATGCGTGACTTACATGCTTACTTAGATGTAATGTTTGTGTTTATTGACTGGTTGCAAAGAATCTCAGCCTCTCTTTTTTGCATTTAGTACCCTGACCTTTCTTCGGAGGACTTTCCCTCAGGCCAACATCTCTACTGATGTCACAAACCCAGTTATCACTAAAGGCATTGGCTTTCTCAACTACATGAGTGATTGGAAAGGGAGAGGTGTGTTGAAGATGACTTGTTTGACATGCTTGGTGAACTGCATGGTATTTGTGGCAACCTATCATTTCTTTAATTACAAGACAATGCCTATTTTAAACTGAAAGTAGTTTCACATATTTTTTTGTATTGGCACTTTTTGGTGATCAGTCAGCCTGTTACAAGGAAACGTTCAGTATTTAGACATCAGTACATGCCTCGTTTTAAGGAAATCATGGGTCAGGAAAGTTTCAACCAGGGCAACATGTGCTGTGATGACCCTCATGATATTCCAAACCTGTATTTATGCCAGTATTTATTTATTTATCTATCTACACCCATTTAAACAAAAGCATGCAGGAACTAGCTACTGCCAAGTTTCAACAAACTGACAGAAAAGTAACCCTTTTTAAAGAACCATAAAAGTGATTCACACTATTTATGTATTTATGTATATACAGTATATATATATATATATATATATACATATATATATGTTCATAAAAGTAATTCACGCGCATTTTTCATCTAACTTTGTAAAGTGACCTTGGGCTTTGGAAAGACTAAATAAATATTTGTACCACATAGCACAATTTTTATCAAATGTCATTATAGTGCCTCTGGACACGCTGAATTTGTTAGATGAGATTTTTTTCCCATTAGGTAAGGATAAACAGGGAAGGTTGTTAAAAAGAACATTGCTGGCATGAACCTTTTATGGTTACTACCATTCTGCCGTTGAGTAAGGTTTATAACTCCAGGTTACTGGCTGCCAGGTTGCTTACTATTTTAGGAGAGATGTTGATTATTATGGGATTTAGAGACCAATGAGTCAATTGTCAAAACCAGTCCAGACTACGTGTTCGATGTGCACCACACCCTGTCTTATAAATGGTGAGCATCCTACTTGGCAAGGTGAAAAATGATCACACGACAATTACAGCCTGTTCTTAGAGAAGAAAGCTAAGTGTATTTTATTATTTGAGTACTTAAAACTGAAGGGTGTAATTTTTTCATTGTTAAAGTGCTTTTTTTGACCCCTGTTTAATATGCATCAATATGCATATGCAAGACATTCATAGGTTGCTTTCGTCCAATCGTATGAGTTTAGGGCAGGGCTATCTGGTTGTTTGACTATTGGGAGGAAGGGGGAGTGTTCAGGAAACCAGTTTGAAAACAGTCATTTTTTAAAAATCCATTTGTGATGATACTGACACAGAAATGTATTCAGATTTCTTCAGATTTAACTAACACTGTGGTTTTTTGACCAGCACATTCCCCCAAATGTGCATAGACATACAACTTTCAAGTGCTTTAGAATGCTGTCTGCCAGCCTGCATACTCACAGAAGAGCTCTCATGTGTTGGTCAAAAGTGCAAAAGTCACAAAAAAAGTGCAAAAGTCATATTTTTCTCTTGTTTTAAATAGATGTGTATTTCAAACTGAGTGATGTCGTGACCCCAAGCAGCATTGTTCTACTCAACTCAGACGTGAAGGACCTTATCAACCAAATCAAGATTCCTCTCGATCAGGTAGGCCTCTCATGGCTGCTCAGTGCAGGTTCCTTGTTCAGAATATGAGTATTTATTAAACTATGTGTATAAAGCCAAAAGCTCCATAGACTTTGAGAAAACAAATTCATTTGAAACATTTTTTCACCCTCTAACTGATATTCACAAACTACATCCAACTGTGCATATACATGCATCAAAAGAGAATTGTCTTATTATTATTTATTTTTCTAAATGGCATGAATATTTCCACCAGTGCCACATTCACCACATCTTAAGTTATGTGTTGCGTTTAATATTATTCTGTGGTCGAAATGGCATTGATTGAAATAACATTTTAAAGATAATTTTTTTTGTTTTGTTTTGCTATGGCTAATTTCTTAGTTAGCATTTAATGTGCATTCAATATACACAATTTTTCACAAATGTAGAAATACAATATGATTAGAAATGATGCACAATATGAATATTCTGTTCAAAAGTTGTATTTAGTAATTCTTCTTTATAAATTTAGTATTACAGCTGATTTCAGTAGAGTTTGGTGTTAGCGTGTTGCTAATTTAACGACATGATACTCTAACATGAAACTATTGATTGATACGTTTAGTTATTGTATGACTTACATTGCATAAATTGACAAAATGACGCACAATACAAATACTTTTCACAAAAGATATTTTGCAACATTTTTCACATGGGGATTGGCGTATAATGCCCTAATGTTTGCCTACGCAGGCTAGGTTTTCAGAGAACTAGCTCATCTGTTTTATATTGTTAGAAGATTAGGAGTTTGTATAAACAAACACAAATCATTCACACACAATCATTCACACTCATGCATATTTTGACCTTCTCAGATTCTAGTGCTGTTCAACGAGGCAGACTTTCGTACCTTTTTATGTGACCAAAACATCACCGCCTCCTATTGTTGGAGTTGGGAAGCGGGCCTGATATTTGAAGGGTTAAATACGTGGAAAGTTGTTGAACAGGTAAATTTGTCATATATTGGTATCTACAAATATCTGCTTTTCTATTTTTAGAAATAAGCCATATTAAATAACACTTCCAAACTTTACTAACCTGTGTTGTAGTTGAGAGGGTGTGAAACTCTCATTTGCGGTTCCTCCTCCTTACTTACTGTCTTGTGGGAAAACACACAAACATCTGCTGCGCATGTTAGGAAACCAGCTCAGTCTAAACACAAAACAGCATGCTAGCTGCACTGAGACTGATTTAAAAAAAGTAGGCCTCTCATGGCTGCTCAGTGCAGGTTCCTTGTTCAGAATATGAGTATTTATTAAACTATGTGTATAAAGCCAAAAGCTCCATAGACTTTGAGAAAACAAATTCATTTGAAACATTTTTTCACCCTCTAACTGATATTCACAAACTACATCCAACTGTGCATATACATGCATCAAAAGAGAATTGTCTTATTATTATTTATTTTTCTAAATGGCATGAATATTTCCACCAGTGCCACATTCACCACATCTTAAGTTATGTGTTGCGTTTAATATTATTCTGTGGTCGAAATGGCATTGATTGAAATAACATTTTAAAGATAATTTTTTTTGTTTTGTTTTGCTATGGCTAATTTCTTAGTTAGCATTTAATGTGCATTCAATATACACAATTTTTCACAAATGTAGAAATACAATATGATTAGAAATGATGCACAATATGAATATTCTGTTCAAAAGTTGTATTTAGTAATTCTTCTTTATAAATTTAGTATTACAGCTGATTTCAGTAGAGTTTGGTGTTAGCGTGTTGCTAATTTAACGACATGATACTCTAACATGAAACTATTGATTGATACGTTTAGTTATTGTATGACTTACATTGCATAAATTGACAAAATGACGCACAATACAAATACTTTTCACAAAAGATATTTTGCAACATTTTTCACATGGGGATTGGCGTATAATGCCCTAATGTTTGCCTACGCAGGCTAGGTTTTCAGAGAACTAGCTCATCTGTTTTATATTGTTAGAAGATTAGGAGTTTGTATAAACAAACACAAATCATTCACACACAATCATTCACACTCATGCATATTTTGACCTTCTCAGATTCTAGTGCTGTTCAACGAGGCAGACTTTCGTACCTTTTTATGTGACCAAAACATCACCGCCTCCTATTGTTGGAGTTGGGAAGCGGGCCTGATATTTGAAGGGTTAAATACGTGGAAAGTTGTTGAACAGGTAAATTTGTCATATATTGGTATCTACAAATATCTGCTTTTCTATTTTTTAGAAATAAGCCATATTAAATAACACTTCCAAACTTTACTAACCTGTGTTGTAGTTGAGAGGGTGTGAAACTCTCATTTGCGGTTCCTCCTCCTTACTTACTGTCTTGTGGGAAAACACACAAACATCTGCTGCGCATGTTAGGAAACCAGCTCAGTCTAAACACAAAACAGCATGCTAGCTGCACTGAGACTGATTTAAAAAAAAGCATGTATATGCAGCAGTTCTCAGGGAACGCCAATTAGATATTCCCCTCGACACAGATGGAACTCCACAACAATATCCAATCACCATGATTTTGCATTCAGAAGTCATGCAGTATGTGACAAATAGCATGCAGAGTAATTAGTAGGACTGTCACACTGACCATTACATACAAATATTACATACTATATTTGGAACAAACCCACTTGCATATGTCTTTTACTCTGCATTACATTTAAATTATGCATGCTGTTTTAATATTGTAAATGCCCATACCAGTAACATCTTCATGTCTCATCCCTACAGGTACTGTTGGCTTGGCGTCAGACCTCTGCCTCAGCTGACCTGGCCTTCACTAAAGACGTGTTCGGCAGCTTCCTGGGCCTAGTGTCTCCATCGAGCCTGGATGCTGTTCTCAAACACAGCAGGTCCCAGCGCAGCAGTGACGCTCAGCCACAGAGCCTGGGGGAACAATTGTATGTCAACCCAGACTACTTTGCATCTGTTTAGATGGAATTTTGATGCAGTAATTAAATGTTTTTCTGTAACAAGTACAGTTTTCTTTCAGGTTCTGTATTTCACATCAAGTGATGACCCAACACAGTATCTAACCCAAATTTATTGTATTTTATGGGTTGAATTTTCACTTACCTTACATAGATTTGCTTGTGGTTTTTGAGGATGAGTGCATGTCGTGCAACCTGGCTTTGATGGCATCTGCCAAATCTGGTTTGATTATTCAATGTGACAGATGACTTTGCGGCATAGATACCATAGAGTTTACTTCCAGGATGTAGGTTGTTTTTAACTTTGGTAGGAGGATTTTTATATCAATCAAACTAATGTTTATCAAGAGAATTTGTCAAAGTATTAGTCCACTACCTATTGTATGAAAATGGATTAATATATAAATATAAACCAGGTTCTTGTACAACAGGTTCTTGTTTTTTTTTAAATTCTCACTGCCATTTCCTGCTGGTTCATCTGACATCTCGTTATTAAAGTTGGTAAACCTGAAATCCAACCTATTTATCATTTTCCCCTTCAGAATCTTCGGATTAAGCAATTCAGCATTTGATTTTCTACAAGGCATGCCTGGCTGGGAATACATTCAGACTTTTATGATGGCTGGCCATTCATCAATGCAGATGGCAAGAGTTGCAATGGAAGTACAGCTACGTATGTATCAGCATGTGCAGAGAATTACGCTATGCAAACAGCTTCCAATGCTTGACAAACTGATTACCTGAATTATCATTATCTGTTTAACAGCATTCATTGATGAGGTCCTGAGGGATGCCAAGTATGTCCAGGAGGCCTTCCTTTCTCTAATGCAGAATGAGACCTTTGCTAATGCCTGGGCTGACCATGCCATGGACTCTATTGTGCAAACTGTGGCCAAGGTGGGTTAAAAAAGTTTAGGTGTGCGCTTTTGTAGTTTTCATTAAAGTCTTCATCTGTCACACTGGATGTTCTCTAATGTTTTCATACAGGTTCTAGAGGGTCACACTAGCTGCAAAGACCTTTCTGCTCCCTGGGCTTGGATGTCAACCTACAGCTCTATAAACCTTAAGTTGTGGGGCACTCTAGTTTGCGCTGGGAATGACACACGTCTTGAGGAAATGCTGTTAATATCACTTTTGCTAGTAAATGAGAAGGTAAGGGGGTGTATTTAGAACAGATGGCCATAATATTTCAAACTTTGACAAGAAAACAAAACAAAAAAACATATTATCTGACAAAAAAATTGAAATGAATGATTATAGTACCACCTAAACTAAATGTGTTTTCACAGGTCCAACAGTTGGTTGGTGTAGTGAATGGAACTGTAATGTACAATGTCACACCCTCAATACTTATGGCAGAGTGGCACGGTCTATACACAACCTCCCTTCAGTATGTCACTGCCCTCCAGAAATTGCAAACTGAGCTTAATGAGGACTATTTTGCAGCTTGGATCCCAGGGAACATTTCAGTTGGATTATCCCAGATTCTGTTGACCAGGTCAGAAACCTACTATTTGTCAATAACTACTATGTGACAAGGATGTTACTTGTTGAGAATTATAACAGTCCCTGTAGAAACATATTTGCCTAGCTAAGTACCTTTATCACATATTAAACTCATTTTATGTGTTTATTTGTATTTTAATTTCTTGTGAAAAAGGGTTACTGGCACATTTGAGAACATGGGTTCTTCACTAGAGAACAGCTCTCTGTGGCCCTCCATGGAACCATATTTCCATATGGCTTACTGGATTTTGACCTACCAACCTAATGCCACTGCATCACCAAACTGTGAGTATAAAAAAATTGTGAATCTTTCATAAATCAGTAGGCTTTGGTTCTTAACATCTGATTATTGTTGTTAACAGTTATTGTTGTTAATTTTATAACAATGAGAAATCATTTTACATGGTTTTTAAATCTAGAATGTTTTTATTGTTTTACTATATATTAAAGGGGTCATATGATGCGATTTCAAGTTTTCCTTTCTCTTTGGAGTGTTACAAGCTGTTTGTGAATAGATAAGATCCCTAAAGTTGCAAAGACTAAAGTTCTACGTCACTGTGTGGGAAGAGTTGCATAACACCGCCCAAATGTATGCGCAAAGAAAGAAGGCGTAACTTTTACTCTCGCTGTAGTATTGTTGTTTCCGCCGCCGCCATGTCGTGTAGACGCTGTGTGTTTCGTTGTGAAAGCGAAATTACTTTGTTTGGTCTTCCAAAAGAGGACACGACTAATAATCAGTGGTTAAGTTGTATTTACAACACTGTTCCAGAACAGTTTAAGCCATATATTCGTGTGTGTGCAACACATTTTACGGAGGACGAGGACTGTTTCCTTGGAGAGTAGCCTACAATGTCGGTTTTCTGACAAATAATGCTGACTCACAGCCTGTAAATACGTTTTATGTTTATGTGGCGCGATGCAACGCAACGCGTAAAACGACAGTATAAGTCATTATAATCAGTAATTATGTCCCCACTGGATGCTACAAATGCCTCGTTTGTAATGGGTTTTATTGGTTTTACCTCGTCGCGCCGGGACACGGCATCACAGTATGGTAAGGGGCGTAACATTTCCGTCACACGCTTGAGGTATTCGGCCAATCACAACGCACTGGATAGCTGGCGTAGCTGGATAGCTGGAATCAGCGTACACCTCGCTTTTCAAATTTATGAGCTTTGTAAAAATCGACGCGTTTCAGAAAGGCGGGGCATAGAGGAGAAACAGAAATTTACATTATGTGGAAAATAATGTGTTTTTTAACCTTAAACCGCATAAACACATTGCATTACACCAAATACACAAAATAATGTTCTTTTTTAGCAACGTCATATGACCCCTTTAACATAATAATAATATAATATATATAAAATGTAATTTTATTATTATTATTATTATTATAAATTTAACATAGATTAATAACTGCTGAAAAATCTAAAATTGTTGAAAAAAATCATATAATTGTTCATGATACCTAATGCATTAACTAAAGTAAAAAATGTAAGTCTTATTGTAAAGTGTTGCCAATTTTATTGATATGACATTTGTATTGACAATGTACAGCAAAGTGTAATCATATCCAGTTTACTTATCAGTTAACATCATAGTAGAATCACTAAAGTTATTGCATGATCAGTATTTTATTTATTTCAACCATACTATAAATAATATGCCATGAATTGTGCACACGTTTTTACAGGCACTCTTACCCTTCCTGCCTTCACCTGTCAGACCAGCTTTACCTGGGAAACAGCTGTTCCTTTGATTTTTTCTTTGATCTCTAAAGTGTCAAGAGAACCTGCCAGCCTATTAAGGTAGTGATTATTTACTGCAAAACATTTATTGATGCCAAAGTAATTTTATATTCAACTTCTGTACTACTACGTGCATATTTGATTTTCAAAATGTATCAAATTACATAAAAAGTCCCATTGGTGATACAATATAGATTATTTTATTATAGTTAATGACCTTACATTCCACCTTTTTCATTTGATTTTAGACCTCTCCAGGGGACAGTGGCTCTCCTCCAAAACAGTTACTTGGCACTTTTGCAGCAAGTCATTGCCAATGGCCTACCTGGTCAGCTACTTGGTAGTGACATTTCACTAAAAGACTTGTTGCTGAACCTCATTAATACAGTTGATAAAGAAATTCAGCTCCTCTCGAACATTGATTCCACACAGCAGTTTGACACTCAGCTCTTAAACGACATCATGGCGGCTCTTGGACTGGGGCAGATAGAGAACCTGTTGTCAGGAGGTTCCCAGACAACCAGCATGCACCCAGTCATCATGGGCGTCCTTCAGGTCTTGAACAATGGGTCCATCCAGATTCTAAACATAGAGGAGGGTTTTGCAGTTCTTCAAGCAATTTTGAGCCAACTTGGAGCCATCTTGCCTCCAGAGCAGCAGTATCAGTTAGAAGCAGGGCTAAATAAGTCTCATGATCTCATTCGAGATCTAGAGATCTGTTCAGCTCTTGGCCAGGACTGTGTAGCTGATATCCAGAATGTCATTGATAATCTTGGTGCAATGCTTGTATTTGGAAATAATATCACCATCCCAATAACACCTCTTTGGGGTAACATGACTCTCCCTGTTGCGCTTGATGTGCTCGCTTTGCTTCTGCCATGGAACATGTCCCGGCCAGCGGAAGCCTCAATGGAAATTTCCAGGAAGATTCAATATCTTCTTGAGCAGGCTTATGCATCTCCTATTTTCAACATCAGTCAAAGTCTACAAGCCTCCAATCTCACCATTTCTGAATTAGAACAAGTCAATTCTGTATTTCATTCTAATTGGTTAGCAGCCATTCTGCAGACTCTGAATATGGCCATTCAAATCCCACAGTGCGTGAACACTCAAACCACACAGTCACCCCAAAAGCCTCCTGCTAATGGACAGGTCGAATGCATCCTTCAGCTCATCCAGACTGCTTCTGGTTTACTTGGAGTAATACCTGTGGCAGAGAACACTCAAATGACTCTTAAAGATTGGCTTAACATCACTGCGGTAGAGTATCAGAAGCTAAATAACATGTCCATCTCTGGATCTGGCCCACTTGCATTGACAGAAGAGGTGCTGATAACAACATTGTCAGCCATCAGACAAAACCTTCAGGGTCTTGATGTAGAGAACATCACTGATATTACAAATGAGCTCAACATTCTGGAAGACCTCTTGAAAAATGTATTCAGAGAACAATACCCATACCACACCATTAATTCAACATTGATGGTGCAGGGGCAGTATGCACAGAAGGTGTATGGAGAAATCACACTGTGGTATTTAAACAAGCTTGGAAATGACACCAGTGGCAGTATGTTTGCAGAGATTCTCCATCAACTGAAATGCATGATTGAAATGCAGGTGGCACTCATCACTGCAAAAGCAGATATGGTGACTCTAACAATGAATCAGATCCAGAACTTGACCCATGTGAGGTTTCCTCTGGAAGGTGAAGATCTTGTAAAAGTTGCCAGTACAATCATGACCATGCTGCAGGGTGAGCTGGCATTGATTAAAGGAAATCTTGAGATCCAGCAGGCGTTCTACAATTCTCTAGGCTCCCCAATGAACATTAGTATTCCTGCTGAAATTGAAGGTCAGATCATGACCTACCTCAGCTTGACAAGGGAGTGGATCACTAACCCACAAGTAATGACGGCACTTGCTACAACTTTCCAGTGGGAAATTAGCTCTGTAGATATCACAACACCTGGGAAGGATCTTGAACATCTCCTCCAAGCCATGGCTCCCCTACTCTCCCCTGAGGACAGAGCCTTCCTGGCTGTTGCTGGGCAGGTGTCTCAGACACTAACCTACGCTCTACAGGTGGCTAGCACTGATGGTGGTCTCCAAAGTGAAAATTTTACAGAAGCTGTCATTAGCACAGTCAGAGTGGTTCTGGAGAGTATTTCTAATGAAACCGGAGCTCTACCTCAGGATGTGGTTAACAATATTCTTGGTGCTTTCAACGGTTCCCTTCAGCTGATCCTAAACTCCAATATGAGCTATGCCCAAGCTAGCACCCTCACACAGGAGACTATCCAGATGGTAGAGGGAGTGATTCATACTCTTTTACCAGCGGAGGCAGTTGTGGTGCTGGTTCCGATTAAAAACAGCATTTTATCCTATCTGAATAACATCTATCAGCCTGCTGGATTTGATCAGTGGAATGAACTGTGAGTGTAGAGGCTATATATTTGTTGAGTATTGTTCTTTCTCTTTGTTTCACTCTTACTTTCTAATTATATTTTTATATATATACTGTATGTATTTTGTAGGAGAGATGACAGTTGTACTTATGTTCTTTTTGTTTTTCAGCATTATGAATGTGTTGACAGAGCTTCAGAATTCCCTGCCATCAAACAACACAGCTCAGCCCATCATATCAATGATAATCAAGGTCACAGAAAACCTTCTGACCTCAAATAAAGGCAACTTGACAAAGGACTGGATCATTAACCAACAAGTGACAATGGCACTCGCCGCAATCTTCCAGGGGAATGTTAGCTCTGTAGATCTTGCAGGAGCTGGAGTGAATCTTGACCAACTTTTGCAAGCCATGGCTCCCCTACTCTCCCCTGAGGACAGAGCCTTCCTGGCTGTTGCTGAGCAGGTGTCTCAGACACTAACCTACGCTTTGCATGTGTCTAGCACTGATGGTGGTCTCCATAGTGAAAACTTTACAGAAGCTGTCATTAGCACAGTCAGAGTGGTTCTGGAGAGTATTTCTAATGAAACCGGAGCTCTACCTCAGGATGTGGTTAACAATATTCTTGGTGCTTTCAACGGTTCCCTTCAGCTGATCCTAAACTCCAATATGAGCTATGCCCAAGCTAGCACCCTCACACAGGAGACTATCCAGATGGTAGAGGGAGTGATTCATACTCTTTTACCAGCGGAGGCAGTTGTGGTGCTGGTTCCGATTAAAAACAGCATTTTATCCTATCTGAATAACATCTATCAGCCTGCTGGATTTGATCAGTGGAATGAACTGTGAGTGTAGAGGCTATATATTTGTTGCTTATTGTTCTTTCTCTCTATTTCACTCTCATTTTCTAATATATATATATATATATATATATATGTGTGTATGTGTACTGTATGTATATTTGGAGGAATTATCACAGTTGTACTGATGTACTTTTTCTTTTTTAGCATTATAAACATGATGACAGAGCTTCAGAATTCCCTGCCATCAAACAACACAGCTCAGCCCATCATATCAATGATAATCAAGGTCACAGAAAACCTTCTGACCTCAAATAAAGGCAACTTGACAAAGGACTGGATCATTAACCAACAAGTGACAATGGCACTCGCCGCAATCTTCCAGGGGAATGTTAGCTCTGTAGATCTTGCAGGAGCTGGAGTGAATCTTGACCAACTTTTGCAAGCCATGGCTCCCCTACTCTCCCCTGAGGACAGAGCCTTCCTGGCTGTTGCTGAGCAGGTGTCTCAGACACTAACCTACGCTTTGCATGTGTCTAGCACTGATGGTGGTCTCCATAGTGAAAACTTTACAGAAGCTGTCATTAGCACAGTCAGAGTGTTTCTGGAGAGTATTTCTAATGAAACCGGAGCTCTACCTCAGGATGTGGTTAACAATATTCTTGGTGCTTTCAACGGTTCCCTTCAGCTGATCCTAAACCCCAATATGAGCTATGCCCAAGCTAGCACCCTCACACAGGAGACTATCCAGATGGTAGAGGGAGCGATTCATACTCTTTTACCAGCGGAGGCAGTTGTGGTGCTGGTTCCCATTAAAAACAGCATTTTACTACCTCAGGATGTGGTTAACAATATTCTTGGTGCTTTCAACGGTTCCCTTCAGCTGATACTGAACCCCAATATATATTTCATGCAAGCTAACCACCTCACACAGGAGACTGTCCAGATGCTAGTGGGAGCTATGCATGACCTTTTGCCAGCAGAGGTGGCTGAGGTGTTGGTTCCCATGAAAAACAGCATTTTAGCGTATTTGCAGACCATCTCCCAATCTTCTGGACCTGACAAATGGAATGAAGTGTAAGTACAGACTATGTATTGTTTCCAAAGTATTCTGTCTATGTCTCTCTTTCACTCTTGCTTTCTACAGTGTATATATATATATATATATATATAGAAGGAGATCTGTAAATATGCAGTAGATAACAAAAAACAAAGAGCTCTGACAGAGCTTCAGAATTCCCTGCCATCAAACAACACAGCTCAGCCCATCATATCAATGATAATCAAGGTCACAGAAAACCTTCTGACCTCAAATAAAGGCAACTTGACAAAGGACTGGATCATTAACCAACAAGTGACAATGGCACTCGCCGCAATCTTCCAGGGGAATGTTAGCTCTGTAGATCTTGCAGGAGCTGGAGTGAATCTTGACCAACTTTTGCAAGCCATGGCTCCCCTACTTTCCCCCGAGGACAGAGCCTTCCTGGCTGTTGCTGAGCAGGTGTCTCAGACACTAACCTACGCTTTGCATGTGTCTAGCACTGATGGTGGTCTCCATAGTGAAAACTTTACAGAAGCTGTCATTAGCACAGTCAGAGTGGTTCTGGAGAGTATTTCTAATGAAACCGGAGCTCTACCTCAGGATGTGGTTAACAATATTCTTGGTGCTTTCAACGGTTCCCTTCAGCTGATCCTAAACTCCAATATGAGCTATGCCCAAGCTAGCACCCTCACACAGGAGACTATCCAGATGGTAGAGGGAGTGATTCATACTCTTTTACCAGCGGAGGCAGCTGAGGTGCTGGTTCCCATTAAAAACAGCATTTTATCCTATCTGAATAACATCTCCCAGCCTGCTGGATTTGATCAATGGAATGAAATGTGAGTGTAGAGACTATGTATTTGTTGAGTATTGTTCTTTCTCTCTGTTTCACTCTCACTTTCTAATTATATATTTATATATATATACTGTATGTATTTTGTAGGAGAGATGACAGTTGTACTTATGTTCTTTTTGTTTTTCAGCATTATGAATGTGTTGACAGAGCTTCAGAATTCCCTGCCATCAAACAACACAGCTCAGCCCATCATATCAATGATAATCAAGGTCACAAAAAACCTTCTGAGCTCAAATGAAGGCAACTTGACCAGGGACTGGATCATTAACCAACAACTGACAATTGCACTTGACAGAATCTTCCAGGGGAATGTTAGCTCTGTAGATCTTGCAGGAGCTGGAGTGAATCTTGACCAACTTTTGCAAGCCATGGCTCCCCTACTCTCCCCTGAGGACAGAGCCTTCCTGGCTGTTGCTGAGCAGGTGTCTCAGACACTAACCTACGCTTTGCATGTGTCTAGCACTGATGGTGGTCTCCATAGTGAAAATTTTACAGAAGCTGTCATTAGCACAGTCAGAGTGGTTCTGGAGAGTATTTCTAATGAAACCAGAGCTCTACCTCAGGATGTGGTTAACAATATTCTTGGTGCGTTCAACGGTTCCCTTCAGCTGATCCTAAACTCCAATATGAGCTATACCCAAGCTAGCACACTCACACAGGACACTATCCAGATGGTAGATGCAGTGATTCATACTCTTTTACCAGCGGAGGTAGCTGAGGTGCTGGTTCCCATTAAAAACAGCATTTTGTCCTATCTGAATAACATCTCCCAGCCTGCTGGATTTGATCAATGGAATGAACTGTGAGTGTAGGGGCTATATATTTGTTGCCACTCTTGCTTTCTACAGTGTATATATATATATATATATATATATAGAAGGAGATCTGTAAATATGCAGTAGATAACAAAAAACAAAGAGCTCTGTTCTTTTATCTCTTTATCCATCTATCCATCCCTCTACACTATCATTAAAAAGTTAAGGTTTAGTAAGATTTTTAAAAAAATAAATAAATACTTCTATTCAGCAAGGATTCATTAAAATGATAAAAAATGAATGACAATAAAGTCATTTATAATGTTACAAAAAGCTTTCTATTTGAAATAAATGCTATTGTTTAAACTTTTTATTCATGAAAAATGCTGACAAAAATTTATCAAATGTATCACTGTTTACACAAAAAATATTAAGCAGCACAACTGTTTTCAACAATTATAATAATAAGAAATGATTTTGAGCACCAAATCTACATATGATTTATGAAGGATCATGTGACACCGATGACTGGAGCAACAGCTGCTGTACTCAGCTTTGCCATCACAGAAATATATTTCACAATTACAAAATATATATATATAAAAAAGAACAGCTATTTTAAATTGTAAAACATTTTCACAGTATTACTGTTTTTGATCAAATAAATGCAGCCTTGATGAGACTTTCAAAAACTAACCCTAATCTTTTGAATTTTAGTGTATATGCAGTACCTGTATTTGTGTATGCACAGGTCATGACAGTTGGTGTTTCTTTTTCATTTTCAGCATTGTGAATATGATGAGAGAGCTTCAGAATTCCCTGCCATCAAACAACACAGCTCAGCCCATCATATCTGTGATTCTTAAGGTCACAGAGTATATTCTAAACTCAAATGAAGGCAAGTTTACTGTATGGTGTTTGTTGGGGTTCATTGTAAAAACAGTTTGTTAGTGTGGCCATATATTAATAAAACCTTTTAAAGCCTTATTTCTTTTTTATTCAAACAAGTTGTCATAGATATATGTACTCTATATTTTTCACAGGATATACAAACATGTGGCACAACCTAGGAAACTTCAGTCTTGGCAGCCTAAATGAAATAACAGAACAGGTAAATTGCTTTTATTTCTCAAAGGCCTGTTATTGACAGGTCCTTCACAACCAACAAATCTTTTGACAGGAAAATGTCTCCATATTATGATATGTGTTGATTTATTGCAGGGATAAAAATAATATAATACACACACAAACATAAATGTGTTATTGTCAACTTCTTTTGTGATGTCACAGCTTGCAGTCTTTCTGGGCACTATGTCACCATTCATGAATGAGTCCGTCCAGACTGTCACAGAATCTGTAGGCGTTCTGGTCCAGATCCTTTCCGGGAGTGCTGACCAGCTGACCTTTGACAAGTAAGGCTGGCATCCCACTATTTGATTTTTTGTTGAAAGCTTCATTTATATAGTCAAGAGAATCAGAGAGATGGCCATAACTCTCAGATTCTCTGACAACTTTGACCATGTTTGAATGTTTGAAATGAATGCTGATACATTAGTACGTTATATATGAAGAGTTTGGTTCCAAAACACGATAAACGCCATTTAAAAAAAAAAATTTGAGTTTCCGCCAAAATCAGTATTGTATATGGTCGGTATTGAAAAGTCCATTTTTAATTTTACGCAAAATACGATATCCGCCGAGTTATTGTCATGTTTTCTCCCTTTCTTTCCAAACCGCGACAAACGCCAGTCTCCCTTCTCTGCAGAATGCGATATATCCGCTCAACCAATCACAGCGCACCATTCCACGCACTGTAAACAGTAACAACCAATCACAGCGCATCATTCCACGCACTCTAGACAGTAATGGCGACACTTTGAATACACGTGGCATCCTAGTTTTCCTCATCTACTTTGTACTTTTGGATACACAGAGCCGTAGATCACTATGTATGCAATATCGCGTTCATAATCGCAGATGAGTCGCATTCGATTATGAACGCGATATTGCGTAGCTTGTCAGTGTAAGCGTTTTTATTAATGCCATTTATGTTTTTGGTAATACAGCGTATAGCACTAATCAACTAAATGAATGTAACATGGCAAAGATGAATACACTTTCGGAAGTTGAATGTAAGGGCAATGCCATTTTGGAATTTCTGTGGTCTAATGTGATATTGTTGTTCATGTTCTTGTTCATGATGAAATTTTCTTTTATTGCTGAAATTTATAGCATTAACAAGATGACCCGTTGAATTCATTTTGGGAGTGATGACTGATTGAATGTATTTTTTTAGTCCAGTGCCTGTATATAAGATTATTATTGACCAAGTTCAGAGGCTGTCATATGTGGATTAACCATGTTGTGTATTTTCAACAGTTTCAATATGAAAAATAATGGATTTATAGCGTTTTGGAACCAAACTCTTTATATATTGGTTAATGCAAAGCCACATATCGCAAAAGCTGAATGTTATCTATGATAATTCTATAGCCAAACATTTGGGGTTTTTCCACACTTAAATCACTTTTAAATTACGAAAGTGGTGGCAGAAATGTCAGAGGCAGTCGATTAGTCTGTCACCTCACAATTTCAGCACAAACAATCAGTAGGAGTGACAGTCCTTACCAAAATTGAGTTGTTTAGTCTTTTAATGGAATGCTGATTAAGTCAGCTGATTAAATTCTGCCATATTACTCAGGATGTAGAAGGTTCTTCAGAATCCCAGAGCATTAATATATTTAAAATCACACATATATTTGCATTTATGCATTTGGCAGAATTTAAGCTATATATAAATTTTTAATGCATGCATTCCCTGAGAATCAAACCAGTGAGCATACATATTAAAAAAAAATATATTTCTTGTTGACTCTCAGTTTTGAATGTCAATCTGACTGTTTGTTAAACAACAGGTTGGAGGACATGTTGGCTGCTCTGTTTTCAACCTTCAAAGGTACTCCAATGTGGGATTCATTGCCGTCTGTCGTGTCCACAATTCAGCAAGCCGTTGTCAACAGTGCTCACAACATGCAGGCACAAACAGGTGAGAAAAGCAAAGCCTTACTGTTGAATACAGCTGCAAAAGAATTGCAGAGTAGGTGTTCATGTTTACGGACAATTTCTTTCAGATCTGAACCGTATGCGTCTAATGCAATTGCTTTCTTTTCCTCAGAGCTCCTCTACGTCCTCCAGCAGCCATTGTCCAACCTTTTGTCTGGCATTTTTCATGTTATGAACACAAGCAGTTTCACTTCCCAGTCCTTTGTTGGTGGAGTGCCACAGGCCCTTTTGTCAACTGCAGAAGCTGCTCTGCAGGTTAGAACAACATACCTATCTACTGATGTGGTGGAATTATACAGACCAGTGTTGCCAACTCTCACAAGATAAATAAGCAACCGCAGCTTCAAAAACAAGCCCAATATTATTTATTATCATCAATATTATTTATTAGCAATTGTTTATTACCAATAAATGAGCCTACAACATAGTAAACTCAAACCACTCTGAGCTTGAAGAACAAAAACAGAAGTTATTTTACAAAAATCATCAAACTGTAACAAAGCGGGAGGGCACGCACTATCCTCCGATCACCTGCAAGCAGAATAGTTTTGGAGACGGAAAAGGAGAATAAGACAAGAGCACTAAGGGGAAGCTTTAATATAGCCACATATTTATTATAAAATAAACCCGAACCATATGCATCTACTATTAGTATTTCTGCTTGTTTATTTATTGATTTAATAATTAATGCATTCTAAAAATATTTTACAAATTGAATTAGGTCCTTTTCCTCCCCTGCACCGTTCACCTTCTCCCATGTTTCCTCTCCATTTCTGTACATCTCTGTTGGTGGCGTTGTTTGTTTTTTGCATACAATAGAGGGTTGGTGAGCTGGAATTTCTTGTCACGGTTCGAAAGAGGCGAAGACTCAAGTGCAGGCAGATGGGGGTCTTTATTTATAATTCACAAAAATAAAAAAAATAACACCGCCACAAATCAAAGGCGTGCACCGACACCTATGTGAGGCAAACGAGCCCAGAACAGAAAACACAGGGAGCTTATAAGGGAGAGGCAATCAGGTAAACAGCTGGGACAAATTAATCAATAATAAGGTAATGAGAGAACAGGTGAGTGGAGTGAAGGTAACGGAGTCCGGGAGGATGGGAAATGCGACCTCTGGTGGTGAGAGGGAGAAACACCAGACGCCAGACCCTGACATTGCTATATAATCCCACTGAAGATTGTTGAGAAATGATTGACCTTCTTAGTTATGACACATACTGCATCAATAGCAAAGTCATGTGTATGATACTGTGTTCTCACCAACAATGTGTTTGTTGTGGGTTAAGCTTAAAATAGCTGAAGTCCTTAGTGACAGCAGAAGAAAGAGTGACATTATGGAAGCATGGCAGTGTAAAATCGAAATGGAAAGTTGTATGTATGATCAGTTGTTTTACAGTGGTTCCCCTTAAGACGACATCCCACTAGCCAATTCAAATGACTTGATTTTAAACTTGAATTCAAAATTTCAGTGGCTGAGACTACTTTTTCTGGGTACTCTTGATTGCTACCTATTATGCTGACCGAAGAGTAACTGAAGCCACAAAATAATGGGAATTTGTTACTATCTGGTTAAGAAAATCTCTTTTTATTAGTAAAGACAAGATATCATAGTAACATACTATGTTTTTGATCAGGCATCGAGGAGACTGGATCTTGCATAACCCCTGGTGTTAGTTGTTAATTAGCTTTTTGTGTGTTTCCAAACAGGCACAGGCATCAACTAAATGTATTTGGTAAATGTTCTGACTTCTTATTTGTTCTGAAATGAATTCAACAACCTTGGCCCAAAAGGCCCACTCAGTGTGCCAAGAAGTGTATTAATCACAGATAAACAGCTAGCCTACATTACCTAGCGCGCATTAGGTGCTGCTTTTCATCCCTAGAGAGAATTTGGTTTCCTTTTGACAACAGATGCTCAAATCCTGGCAGGAGTCATATATCCCTATTTCCCTACAACATGTTCAGTGAATGCTTTGTCTATGATAGTATCAATTTTCACATCACTTGAATTCACAAGGCATAAAACAAGATCATGAATGGGTCCCCCTCCCCTTCCCTTGGGCCCAATGTATGAACTATGGTCTAAACTTTTTGCCACCCTGACAAACTGAGGATATCTGTGTGTAGTTTTTCTTGTGTCTCTGTGAATGTGACGACATCTTGTCTCCAGTATTAAATAGTAAATTGTTAAAAAACTTAAAAAAAAAGTTTCATTGCCATCCTGTTGCTCTTGTAATCTCTCTGTTAGACAGTAGTGTGATAATTATCTTTTTTCTGATGCTCACCCCTCAGGCTTGTTTGGGGGGTCAGAGCCTGAACTGCAGCTACGTGCAGCACATATGGCAGGATGTCAGAGCTGGTGCTGGAATAAGCGAAGACACTGTTGCTTTGTGGTGTAACATCAGCCTACTGCCAGTCATAGCAGTAAGCTATGAAAAACCAGCTCCAGCCTTTAATATGACGGTGAGACAATAAGTTCCAGTTTTACAGTAACAGCCTTTTTTATGGCTCTCAAATGCAACTATCATGTGTCATCACCACTAGATGGTAGTGTGCACTAAAGACTGATTTAGACTGTTCCTCTGTGTTTCTAAACAGGGAATGAACCCTCTATGGATAAACGCCACTGCAGGAATGATGGCAGAGTCACTGGAGACTTTCTATGGGGCGATCCTGAACAGTACCTTTGCTAGCAATCACCTTACAGAAGTCCTGTTGCATACATCAATGCTATCCAACCTCTCAGTGCTAGAAATAACAAACCAGGCTGACTGGAATGTCCAACTCTTCCAGATGCAGCTGTACCAAAGGTATAAATGCACTGGAGTCATTTTTACACTAACATATATTCTTACTGTGATACATGCCCCAAGTCATATTACAAAGTCATACCACTTTGTTCATTTAATGGCAAACAAATGGCAGTCTTATAACAGAGAAAGATCTTTTATAAAGATAAACACTATTGAGCTTTTCACCATTATTCTTCAAACTGTATAGCTTGACTAAATTGCCAACAACAAAAGTGTGCAACAATTTCGCCCGCACTCACACTCCCATTATACCTCGACATTATCACGAGCCTGATTATATTACTGAAATACTTTCTCAAATTTGCTAAGAGATTTGCAGTCATTACCCATAAGGACCAGGGGTTGGAATCATGCAAACAAACTAAGTATGAGTAATTAAATTTGCATTAAGGTTGATTTATTCAGTTTGACTCCTTTGCTTCAAACAGGTTTGAGCAGATAAAGTAGTGTCTATTATTCTGTTATCTCTATCTCCCTGCTCTTAAATTGATTCTGCTTTATGTGCTCATCCCTGTAATGAACTGACTACTGATAGGAATCAAATTATGCATTTGTGCATATCTGGGTGAAACAATCACATAAGACTGCAGAAACATTTATGCACCCGCTGTAGATCATTGATGATGAAACATGATGGAAATGGTCTATTATAAATAAAGTCTATTATAACCATTCAATTCTATTAATATAATGTGAGTGCCCGCTGAAATGGAGAGCAAAATCAACATGAAATATGGACTAATGTTGTGCAGCTTTTAAATATAAGTAATCTAGTTTAAAAATTCATAAATGTTCCCATCAACTCTACATTTAAGTATCTTGGACTGTAATGGTTCGTAATCTTTCACATTTATGCATAACAGTACATAATTTAATCCAGCTATTAATGGATCCTTAAAGAGCCATTTTTATTATTTTGTAACTTTTTTTGTGAACATGCAGTACTAATTTCTCTCTCATTCATCAGTCTCTCCACAGTACAAATGGCTCTGGATCAAATTAAGAGCGAAGCTCCCTGGATGGCGCCATACGTCGAGGCAGCTGGAAAAACTATAGAGGTCATCCTCCAGAACGGCAATCTCCTCCAGAACTCAACTGCAAGCCCTCAGATCATCATGCAGGCTCTGGAGATCACGCTTACTGGAATGAATTTTACAAAGGAAACCATTAATTATATCCTGAGTGGAGACATATTTATGAACCCAAATGGAAGCACAGTTGACAGCTTAATAAAAGAGGTTATCCAGCAAATCATTGGTACGGGATTGCTGGGAGACTGGCCTACCCTTTATGGAGTAATGCAGCAAGTTCTGTATTTGGAAGATACAAGTGGCACCCTATGGAAAACTGTTGAATTTTTCAACTGGCTGTTTACTACTCAAGATACTAGGCTAAATTTTGTCTTGGAGATCCTGCGCAAGTTATACGAGATAGTAAGAGATGCCTTAACCAAGATGCCACTGCCGTGCTTCTCAGAAACCTTTATTGACCTTTTTGGGAATGTTTTGTACATGCTGAAACAGATCAAACTAACCAGTGACCTCTTCGACCCTGTGGAACAATATCTAAGCCCACTTAAAATGCAAATTGCTCAGGGACAGAACCTGCAAGGTCTTGTGTCCCACACAAGAAATGCCAGAAGAATTGCTAGCAAAGTACAGAGAGAGCCAGTGGATGACTTCCTTGATCTTCTTGACATCGATTACCAAGCTTTGCTTGAAGTTCTTTCCATTCCACCCACCTCGACTGAAATTATGGAGACTATCCATGTTTTCTTTGCAAATCCAGATTTGGGTGTCATCCTGAAGGGTTATTTGAAAGAAATGACTGGAAGCACAAGTCAGGAGGAAACCATTGACACAGCTCTGAATGTGCTGTCCTACTTGACACTCCCTAGCAATGGGCAGCAGTTTTTGGAGATGTTCATGGACATCGGTAGTGAAGGGTGGAGTCTGCAGGACCTTGATAAAGTAGAGAAACTTGCAGAGAGCCTAGGAAGAACAATTGACGTGGCCATGGTGCTATCCGACCAGCCACCTCTGAACATTCCTCAAAGAATCGAGCACATGGCCCAACAACTTCAAGCTTCGGTGTCAAATATCATCTCACAGGATGGAAATGGCACCAACACTGCGATCCAATTCCTTATGGCGCTCAACAGCATCCTTACCGAGAACTTTGAAGAAAGCAAGGACATCAGCCCTCAGGTCACTGGCATTCTCCAAAACTTAATTGGCTCGTTTTCCAGTCCAGGGTCGCAGATGAGCATAGCATCCTATTTGGCAGCCGTTAATCAAACTGCAGAAGCCTTCACCTCACTTCTCTCTGGAGAGGTAGCTGTGTATTTCAACATATCTGGACAAATGCTGCAAGCCTTTGCATTGCTCGAGGCATATCCCGGAGACATAGAAAAAGTCATGATGTCCACCAGCAAGATTTCTAACTCCCTAAACCATGTTCTTGCCCTCTCGAATATTACAACTCTTCCAAATGGACAATATGTTCAAGAGGTCACCCATCCCTTAATCCTTAGCAGTGCCATGGTCACCCACATCCTATTCAACCTCTCCATGTCAAACTATAGCCTGAGCAGTAATGCTGAGAGGGAGATGCTTTTGACCCAGACGTTCAATCAGATGGTTGTCGTTCTTCCCAAGGAAACGCACATGTACCTCTTTGCTATCAAATCGGCTCTATTCACTGCCCTCTCTAAAGTATCCAGCACTGCAGAAATCACATCCCACTTCCCAGAAATCGCCCAGCTGGTTACACAGTCTCTTCTTAACTCTCTAAACATTACTTATGATCTGACATCCACGCGTATGACTCCAGATGGCCTTGTTTACATCTTCATGACCGTGTCTAATCAAGTGTCCATGAGTCTCTACCAAGGCCTTATGTTATCCGGTTCCCCTATCCAAATCTCACAAGCAGTGAACTCTTTAAGTGAGGTTGCATCTTCCATATACTCGATAATGCCTGTTGAGGGACGGCCATACATCAATATCACACTCAACCTAATGGAGACAATATCTTTTGTTCTTAATGACACCAGCACCTTTGGGGATGTCAGTGGGGCTGTATCTCAAGTAGTAAGTTCTGTCAACAACCTTCTGGCCATGGTGCACCACATGAACACAAACTCCTCCAGCAGCATTATAGGTGACCTAGAGCAGACCCTTAAGAGAATCCTAATGATCATCCAGGCAGACCAAAACCCTCTCACCCAAACGGCTGATATTACCCAGCAGCTACTGCACACCATCCAAAATCTCATCTCGCTGGGCAATAGCAGCAGTGTGGAGTCTGAACTCCCCAAAATAGTGCTGGGGGCTTCTAGCATGAATATCGGCCATCTGCTGGGGATGAATGACTCTAACTGGACTGACAAGTGAGTTTCTTTGAGGTTTTGCTCCCAAGGCTGGTTTCTGGTTATGAGCTCATAACAAGGCCCAGTTTTCCATCTCTTTTTCTTGTTCATTACATGGCATTTACCCTGCATAATTGCTTGCTTCTTCAGAGAAATGTAATTTATGACTCTGAAAAGAACACATTCTTACACATTCTTAGGTTCATGAAAATAAATGATCATAATCCATAGTAGTACATTATGATAAAGCTAACTCAGCAGAAAGAATGACGTTTTGTTAGTTAATTAAACTTTTCTGTTTACATAGGCTGCCTGTGCTGTTGACAAACCTCGCTAATAGCCTTCCAGAAGACCTGCAGTATTCTTCTCTTATTAAGTCCATCATGAGAAGTCTGGCCAACGAATCCCAAGGTACATAAATCATCTCGCAAATCTACTGACCTATAACACTGTTCATTCAGGGGTTTTATTTCCACAATCTTATGCGCCCACAGTTGCATATAGTGCATATAAGTATTTTGCATTAAGCCGTGTGAATACATAATTATTTCTTTGCATAATTTCTTTTTGTTGAAGTCAGCTTTCTGCAATATTCAGCCAGGAGGCATGTGGCCAGACAGAGTTTGAAAGCCTTTTACAGTGCCTGTGCTCTTTAAAATAGCAAATGTTTCTTTTTTCCTATCCACTACTCTCTTTTATATTATCAACCCAGTCTATTTAAATGACTACTTCACCCAAAAATTTGAATGGTCATTTTTTATTTATTTACTTTTTTGTGTCATTCCAAACCTGCATGCAAGTAGTATTTTCTGTAAACCTTAAATTTATTCCAATTGTTTTTGTTTTAGGCATAGATTTAACTAAACTTAGTGATGTTTGTGCTTTAAGCAAGAAAATAATTTAACATTGGGGTAAAATAATAAACCTAATTAAGATATGCTCTGTATGCTCTGAAAACAAGTGTCAAGTATTACTTTTTCTTCTGAAATAAAGTTATCTTGTTTTACAGATATTTTTTTTTTATCAGATAAGATAGATTTTAGATGAACTATCCTATTCAAGAGTACACCATTTTTCCCCCTCTGGAGATCCACAGTTTTTATTCCTCACTTTCTTTGTTTGCAGCACTCCCTCATTTTCATTGATAAGCTGCTTTTTAAGCATCTCAGTTTGCTTTATATTTTCTTTAATAAAGCTGATGTCTTGTTGAGCATTTAATTTCCCTCATAAGTGTCTGATCTTTTATATTGCTTAAGGTGTTGCACATGTAAGTGCTGTCAGATCTAAATCAGCACACGGCACCATAAAGCTTTCAATGTCTCATTTCTAAGGGGAGATTCTTTGCTAGATCATTTGCTGCTTGCTGCACTGTGAGGTTGGCCTGAAAGTGGAGTTAGGTGCAAGTAATGATGCCTGTAGGGAATTTAAGTTAAAGCAAAAGCTTGATCTATGTTTTCCCTCTTCCATTTCTCTCACCTCTCTGCAGAAAATCTGCATCTTCTACTTCAAGTGCTAAACACCGCCTTTGAATTAAGCTCAGCCAACTGGGCGAATGAGAGTTCGGGCATAATACTGGACCACCTGTTAACTAAGGTGAGATTTTTGATGGTTTAGATATACATTTTTTCTTTTTAAAGAATATGCCAGCAAAAATCTTGTCACTATTCACTTATTGGTAAGCTCATGCCATACCGAGTTACAAAAAGAATACAGAAGGACAAATTGTTAGTCCATATGACTCGTATCTTATATTTCAAGTATTCTGAAGCCAACTTCTTTTCTGATAATGTAGGTGTGCGCTCTGGAAAACATGGCCTCTGTGCAGCTGATCACCAATTTTCTTCCTCTGGGCCCCAGACTGCTATGCGACACTGTTGTTCCCACAATCCAGGCTTTCCATGTGCTCACAACCAACCTGGTGAACCAAAGCTCCGACATCTATGATCTGATTTTCCAGACTTTTGTTGGAGACCCTAGCACCTACAACACTGAAGTGGACTGGTACTGTTTTCTATAATGGCCTTCAACCTTGTTGTTGCAGCTTATATTATGTATGTTGGGGAGTAACTTTTAGTAGAGTGAAATTATTTTTAGTAGAGTGAAATCCTTTTTTTAAATTTTTTTAAACAATGTAGCATTTCCAGTAACAAGCTACTTTTTCAATATGTGCTGTTAGTGTAACATTCTCTAGCATGCACAACTTCAAGCTGAGCAAACTGTGGTAGTGATCAAATTCACTCCACTTTTTTCCCACTTCTTCTTCATATGAAACACTGGAAAGTCTGATTCATTTTAGTGAATCAGTTCAAAACCCCAAATTCAAAATAATTTTCAAAAAATTATTCACAGATTCATCAGATGTTTACATGTCTTTTTTTTTTTAAATTAAAATACATTTACAAAATTTAATGAAATTAGATGTTACTGTTTATCACTGTTTTCCATTTAATTTAGTATTATTTATGATAATTATTATATTGTCATAATATTATTTTTCATATAACTATTTATATGAAAACATTTTATATAAATAATATTTATGTAAACATTTTGTATAATTATGTTACACATTTTGAACAGTTTGTGTCCAGGAATTCTACTCATAGTTTTAATCGCTCGCGCTCTTTCTCTCTTTTATAAAGGACATCAACTCTCTCTCAAATTGTGGGCTTCAACGTCTCAACTCTGAAAACTCTTAATATCAATATTACATCTCCAGGTAGGTACCGCTGTCGCTTCAAGCAAAAGAACTGCGGAAACACAAGTGTTCCTTAGCTATCAGATGGTGGTCCAATCAGTCTGTTTCAACCTTGCCATGCTCTCTCACTTGTCTTTTGTCTTTTGTTCTGACAGCTGAAGTGAAAGTTTTAGAGCTGCTGAAAAATGCCACACTGTTTGTTCAGGATGTTGAGCGGTATACCAGCTTTCCCCCTCGCATTCTTCAGGCTCTATTAGATTACCCTCTACCCAGAAGCAACATGCAGGTACAACACAACTCATGCATACATAAGAGGGGATCAAGATGTGTCCAAAAACCATGGCTTCACACAGTGTGAGACAGAAACAAAAAAAAATTTGAATCCCTTTATACTGAGAAAGATGGGCTCCCCTTGCTGAGTCTTGGTTCCTCCCAAGGATTTTTTCCCCATCCTACTCATCTTACCTAAACATTGAGCATTTTCATTGCCATGGTTGCCTTTTCCTTGCTCACAGAGGGTTGTATCGGGCTTTATTCGTGATGAAGCTGCTTTTGCACAATATGCTTTAATAACATATATCTCAGTCTCTCACCAGTGTGAAGTCTTGTAGAGTGCATTTTTATTATAATGTGTTCTGTTTGTCATCTCTCCCCTCTTCACAGATCTTGGCATGGTTGGCAAACCTGCACCAGTGCTCAGACCCCTCGTCTTTGCAACTGGACCCTACAGGGCAGGAGATCTTCAGCACTTTCTGTGAACTGTCACATGAATGGTACAGCATCACGGTTATCTTTCTTCGTCATGTGGACACGAAGGCGGCTTTATTCAGGGTAAAGAGCTGGGCACAAAATGTATTGTATATATTGTACATCCAATGAAACAGAAAGGCTGCGTCTCTCTGTTGTAGTTAATTTAATACAAGAAATGTTTTGCATATAGTTACTATGAAACTAAATAATAATGCTTGCTGTTTTATGCATTTATTATTATGGATTCTTCTCTGTATGGTTAGATTGGGGCTGGGCTGGGGCAGCCTGATCTCACTGTTAGCTATTCAAGAATTTGCTGTACCGGTTGTTTATTATGAAAAGCCATTTATTATAAATAATCTTTTGCTTCCATTAAGTTTAAAGTAAAGAGAGAAAAATAATCAAATTATATATTTTTTATTACTTCATTCAAAAGTGTTTAAGTGTTTAATTATTGAGACATAGACATTGCCACTTATTTTTATATTTTTAATATACGTACATAAACTTTTTTATTTTCCAGAAAAAAATAACTATATCATGCAATATACCAATAATTTTACTAAAAGCCCTATGATATTTTGTTGCAGCTGGTGTTGTCCAAAGAAATTCAGGATTTGGTGAGAATCATGCTAGAGATGGTGAAGTTTTTTACGGACATAATGCACAAACTGGTACCTGCCCTTAACAAACTGCAGGAATACCTGACAAACATAGGAGAACTAAACCTGGTGGCCAACCAAGAGTTCCACAGTGTAAGATTTGATTTGATTTAATTTAATTTAATTTAATTTAATTTAATTTAATTTAATTTAATTTAATTTAATTTAATTTAATTTAATTTAATTTAATTTAATTTAATTTAATTTAATTTAATTTAATTTAATTTAATTTAATTTAATTTAATTTAATTTAATTTAATTTAATTTAATTTAATTTAATTTAATTTAATTTAATTTAATTTAATTTAATTTAATTTAATTTAATTTAATTTA